TAAAGCTCTTTCATTCTGCTGTGCTGGTGGTGGTGGTGGGGGTGGGAGGCTGGAATCCCCTTCCCCACAGCAGATCAGCCAAGGCAGACACGTGGCAGTAATTCTATGTTTGTTAATAAACAGTAACCTATTTATACATCCTTTCACCTGGCTTTGTTTTTATAGCATTTAACCCTTGACATTCTCTTGTAGATTTATTTACTTACTGCCTCCCTCATTAGGAGGTAAGACCCAAAATGATAGGATGTGCCTGGTTTTTCCACAGCAGTTTATTGTGTTCCTAGAATAATGCCTGGCACATGGTTGTTCCTCGAAAATAACAACAATATTGGGCTAGAGGCGTGGCTCAGGTAGTAAAGCAGCTGCTTTGGAAGCACAAAGCCATGAGTTCAAACCCTAGTCTTGCTCCCTCCCCCCAAAAACCAAACACCCACCAAAAGCATTCTCATCTTATGCTTACCATGCTTCAAGTGCTTGGCATACATTATCTCACTTGCTCCTCAGTACAGAGTACTGTTATTCCATTCAAACACGACGTAACAGCCACAGCTAGGTTAAGGAACTTGCTCAAAGCCACATAACTCAGAAAAAAATAGTACTAGGATTCAGATGGTAGAACTTTGTCTCCAGAGATAAGTCCATAAATACTGAGCTTTACTGCTTTTGTGAGTGAATGATTGGTTAAAATAGATTTATACGCACTGTAAAAATGTACTTAGTAACGCACTTCAAAGTAAATAGTTTGTAAAATAAAATATATAATGAGCTAATATTTTTCTTTTGAGGAAAGGACAGTTAATAATTAAGACAAGTATCTGGAAAAAGTATACATTTGTATATATATGTATATACTCAGTTTCCTGGAAAGTGTTTTATGTGGTGGTCCATAATTAATACTGGATTTTAAGGCCTAGTAAATCTGTCTCATTTATGTTCCAAACAGCATATTATATATTTCTATTATCTTTATAAGAAGGATCTACCTCTAGCAATAAACAGATGTTAATTTTCATCATGATTTATTTCTTGATCTAAAACTCAGTTTGGTGCCTAAGAGCTATGTAATAGTTGGGATTTGCAATTACAATTGAATTGCAGTCAGTCTTGAAGCAGAATTCAGTCTTTTAGAACCTTTGCCAGTTACTTAACAAATGTATTGACTTATGCTCTCTGTTCTTGGTTTGAATAGTGAGACAGTAAGACTACGCAAATCCATGTTCTTCTAGGCTTATTGGTTGAATTAAGATAAGGGTAAATAATAAATACTAGGAAATGGTCTGTCCACAAAATGAGGACCAGCAGCAAGGAGAAACATCGCTGAATTTTTTCCTGACAGAGGCAGAAAGACAAAAGTGGATCAAAACCAAATCTTCTAAATAATGAAGTTATTTATTACATTTTAAATATTCACCCATTTTAATCCATATTTGACTGTTAGTTTTTCATTTATGCTATTAATATTTGTAGATAGGAATTTTTCATGATTTTTTCACTATCTCAAGAATAGACTTTCTCTGTTCTTGAAATAGCTGAGCACTGTGACGTTAGAATCAAGTCCCCTTTCAAAATGAACAAGATGACTATATGTTGGACTCAATTAAGGAATGAGATTGTTGGGTTTAAATTTGTTTGCCTTTAGTGATTATTAGCCTACTGTAAATATGCATTTGTGCCTATGTGCCAACTATGTTTAAGGGAGGTGCTGACTTACAGCCCAGGGGTTTCTGTCTTCAAAGTGATTAAGATAACAGGACATACTGATGATGCAAGGAAAGGCGAATGTTGATTCAGACACAGACAGAGCTGACATAGAAGCTCAAATTCCTGCACTCAACCTGTTCATCTGCTTTCCCTTTCCTGTTACTCAATTTGAGCATAGCATTTTTAGTTCCTTTGCACTTGACTCTGTTAGGATATTATCTCAGTCGATAGAATTTTGCTTGGCTTTTCAGATGTGAATTAGTACCGTGATTAGGTGTCATTTAGGTTACAACAGATGGTGTCTATGTGTAAGAATGGCTTCACTGTCTTTTATTCCAAACAGCTCTTGGTACTATTCATACATTTTCTTACTTTCTCCTTGATTTTTCATTTGAAAACTCTTTTTTTAAAAACACTGTCTAATCACTTATTAAAAACACCTGCTTTATATCTAAAAGTGCTTTAAGCTAGGGATGTAATGCCTTTAAAGAAGGTCTAAATCTTGTGGTGGTGATAGATAAAATATTATCATTCCAAGTGACAAGAACTGAGATAAGATCATTCGATAGTAAATTTTATTGTGACCTTTTTGTTAATCTTAGTGGTGCTAATATATCTGAGTACGTGTATCTGGGTCTGTGTGTATTAATGAATGTATTTGTATCTTAATATACAGATTATATGTGATAAATGTATATGACAACAATAAAAGCTCCTGGACCTTTGGGGAATTAGTATAATAAAATTTATTTATAATTAAGATGGCCTTGACTTGGTGTACTCTAGAGTAAATCAAGACAAAGTAGGTAGAACCTACTTTGTACTTTTGAGTACTTATATTCCTTTGGAAACTTTTCAAAAGGCATAGGAGATTTTGAAATATTTTTATTTGGAGATGTTGAGGGACAAAAACTGTGGCTGGTATTCTCATGTTCACAAACAGAAACAAGTATGAAATCCACTGTATAGTTTAGTAAACAAAAAGTAAGGAAGCTGGAGATGATTTTCCTCCACTAATAATCCTGTTTATTTCAGCCTAGGATTTGACTCCTTCGTGCTTACTAAATATATGTGGAAGTTCTGTGTTGTGGCAGAAGTTACATAAGCCTGTCTCCTAGGCTGTGTCAGGAAAGAGTCCATGCAGCTGGAAAAAGCAAACAGTTAATACCTGAGTTATCCCTGTTGGTATTGTACATGTCCCACAACGAGGACTGTAGTTCTCTCAATTAAAAAAAAAAGTACTATATTTTAGCTGTACTAAAGAATTTTTAAGCATATATCTCATTCTGTCATCTTCACACAAATATTTTTATTTTCTGATTCTCTCAGTCCCTCTTCATATATGAATTTGTTTTTTATTGTTGGGATCATGTCTGTTTTTTCATTTAACATAAAAATGTTTCCATTGTTACAAAGTTTTTATCGTAACTTAACTGCTACCTTGTAACTCATTAGCACTTATTTTTATGTAAAACTTTTAAAAGCATTTGGGATGTTTCTTTCTTATCTAGTTCATATTAGCAGTCACCCTTAATTATTTTCGTTTTATGCAAATAGCAATGTCATTAGTTTCTTTACACATGATTTTTTGCTCTTATATAAACCTTCATGAATATATATGTGTGTATATATGTATATTGCAATTTTTATAAGACAGTGAAAATTACTGCATAATTCAGAAGTGACAGTAGGAAGGCCCTGAATTATTCATATTGTACTATCTTAGGTAGCTGTTAATTCAGCCTTTAGACTTGGTTTTTTTCTAGCACGCCACATTGTCTAATTTAACCTTTGATTACTGTTTTTATATTTCATATTTGTACATAGAAGTTGAAATAAACACTACATAAAAATGGGGTTTATTTGATTTTCAATTCCAAAGATTTATATTAAGAACTAGTCTCTTTTTTTTTTGTAATACTGGGACTTGAACTCAAGGCTTCCCACTTGGAAAGCAGGCTCTCTACCACTTGAATCACACCTCCAGTCCATTTTGTTCTGGTTATTTTGGAGCTAGGATGTCGTGGAGTATTTGCCTGGGCTGGCCTCGAACTGTGCTCCTCCTGCCTCAGCCTCCCAATTAGCTAGGATTACAGGTGTGAGCCACACTGGTGCCCAGCTTCTTTTCTTAAATAGTAAATATATAGGAACCTAAGATCAGTGTGGAATTCATATCAGTGCTGTAATATTTCAAATATTTAGGCATTTCTTACTAAATTCTTTTTATCTAGTGACAGTTACTATGAATATAGTTTATTATTTAAAAAAAATTTTTTTTTCTTGGTGGGACTGGGGTTCAAACTCAGGGCTTCATGTTGGCAAAGTAGGTGCTCTACCACTTGAGCCAAACCTCCAGTCCATCAGGGATATTTTATAGCTAGAATAAAACACAGGATATAATAAAGTTTGTAGGAGGAAGAGGTTCAAGTGTATCAGATAAGAAATTCTGACTTGGCTTTTGTAGTAACTTGAAATATAGCAAATGCAAATAATAAAGCATTACTTCAAAACTTAAAATATTAATCTCTCTATATAACATTAAAATATTAATCTCTGTATTTGTGCATATTTATTTATATAGCCATACTTGTGCCTTTTTCTGAGTTTTAGCTCCTTCTCTTTTAAGAATTTGTAAATTCTATCACTATGCTACTTCTATTATTGTCTGAGAAATTAAGGGTTATTTGGACTGTCTATAGCATTTCTATGGTAAAGCATTTTTAAAGATATTCTTAGATTTTTTTTTTTTTTGACAAAGCCTTACTATGTAGCCCAGGCCTGCCTTGAACTCATAATCCTCCTGCCTCTGCCTCCTGTGCCAGAATTACAGGAGTGTGCTGTCACATGCTTTTAGAGAACTTCCAGCAAATATTTTTCCACAATAGATTGATTGGATGCTGTGTCTTCTTTAGCCAAAGGGTTTCATTTACCATGTTTTACATATGTTCTGTATAAAATAAAAGGCTGTTTTTGTGCTTCTAAGTTATCTCCGACAACTTCCCCCAGGCTCTTCCCTTCCAGTAACCTTCACAAGTCTGTGAATTTCTGATGAGTTCTGAGTATCACTGAAGACCATCCTCATAGGTCTTGAGCACTGTGAAAGGCTCAGGAAGGGGAGAGGTTATATGGATTCAGCCAAGGTACTAAACTTGCAGTAGCTTCTGACAGGAACTAGACAAAAGAGTACCATGTGATGAGTAACATGTCAGGTCTATAGATGTAGCTGTGTGGTTTTTGTTTTTGTTTTTAGAGTGGTCAGATGGCTTCTTATTTCTCTTCTTTGATCATTGTATTTTCAGGAGCTTCCCAAAGTCCTCCTTCTCCATCAGCTGGCAAAACAGGAAGGTGCTTGGACCATCCTCCCATTGTTACCACAGTATGTGTGTTTTATTCAAAATGTCTGAACTCCTCACCTTTCGAGCTCAACGCTGTTGTGTTGGGAGGGTATATTGTTCCTTAGTAAGTGAAGTAAATTTGAGTTTCATTTATTTATTGTTGTGCTGGGTTGGGGTACGTTGTGGCATTTACAAGTGTTACAGTTTATCAAATGTATCATACTCGAATTCACTCCCTCTACCATTCTTCTTCCTCCCCTCTTCCCCCATTCCTGGGAATAGTTTTAACAGTTTTCATTTTTCCATTTTCATGCATGTGTACACAGTATTTGCACCATATTTACCCTCCTTCTCCATTTCCCCACCTCCTCTCCCTTCCCACTGGTACCAACTCCTCCAGGCAAGACTGTTTTGTGCTCCTATTCTCTGATTTTGTATAAGAAAAAAAAAAAAGAAGGGAAGGGGGATATAGTATTATAACCAGATTTGGTTCATCTTCTCTATTTTTCTTCTTTCTACCTTAGTCCCTTTCTTACAATGGTTTCAACCAGTTTAAAAAATTTTATATTTATTCTCGTATAGAAAGTACATTAACCACATCACCCTCTTAACTTTCTTCTTTTATTGAGTTTCATTTTTACGATTACTTTGTTAACCAAATTTCCTGATGACTGGTTCTCAATCATGAATAGTACTTATTTTTAAATTTGCTTCTTTCAAGCTGACATTTGAAAATTATTTGTCTTCTAAACTGGTGGAATTAACTTTTAGAGTTCTTGCTATTCTTTAAACAATTAGTCTCTAGCTTTCCTTTAAGTGGAAATCCTTTACATTGAAGAAAATTACAGAGGAAAAACAATCTAGTACCCCATCTTTCCATTTGCCCTTCATTCATTTCCTCTTACCAGTTTTAAATCTAATTATAAGCTCATTTTACACAAATTATTACTATAACAACTTTTTTTTTCAGTTTTTCCTCAGCGTATAGCAGGAATTCATCATGGATTTTCTTCTGTGAAGAAGAGACAAGAATACAAATTCCAAAACTCTTGGAAATACTCAGAAGATATGACCCATCAAAGGTGAATACAACTTTATTACCAGTATTTATATATTTGGGGCAGTGCTTCAAAGAAAATTTAATTTTAATTTGAATTAAGAGGTATTTGAATATAATAAAAGCACTTTATTTATTTATTTTGGAAATGCTTTTTTTTTCTTTAAATTTTATTTTATTGTTTTTACATTTACTCACATGTGTAAACATTGTTTGTTTGGGTCACCCTACCACCCTTCCAGGCAGAACCTGTTCTGCCCTCTTGTTCTCTGATTTTTGAAGAGAAAACATAAAAGATAATAAGAAAGACATAGCGTTTTTGCTAGTTTGAGATAAAGATAGCTATACAGAGAAATTCCTAGCATTGCTTCCATGCACATGTGTATTGCAACCCACATTGGTTCATCTCTACTAGACCTTTTCACTACTTCCCAGTAGCCTCTGCCACTTTAAGATTACTGTATTCCCTCTACAGTGAACACATCAACCACATTCAAGTTTTAGGTTTCCTTCCCTTTCCCTATTCCTTCTGTGTGCATTCTCCCCTTAGTGTGTGACCCAGGTCCAATAATATTACTGCATTTGTTTTAGACCTATAATCTGCATATGAGGGAGACCATGCAGTTTTTGGCCTTCTGAGCCTGGCTAACTTTGCTTAAGATGATGTGCTTCAGTTCCATCCATTTACTTGCGAATGACAAAATTTTATTCTTCTTTGTGGCTGAATAAAATTCCATTGTGTATAAATACCACATTTTCTTAATCCATTCATTGGTACGAGGGCATCTTGGCTGTTTCCATAACTTGGCTATTGTGAATATTGCTGCAGTAAACATGAGTGTGCAGGTACCTCTGGAGTAACCTGAGTCTCATTCCTTTGGGTATATCCCCAGGAGTGGGATTGCAGGGTCATATGGCAGATCTATGTTTAGTTTTTAAAGAAGCCTCCATATTGTTTTCCAAAGTGGTTGTACTACCTTGCATTCCCACCAGCAGTGTATGAGGGTTCCTTTTTCCCCTACATCCTCACCAACATTTGTTGTTGTTGGTGTTCTATTCTAGTAGGAGTGAGGTGGAATCTTAGTGTGGTTTTGATTTGCATTTTCTTTATGGCCAGGGATGGTGAGCATTTTTTCATGTGTTTTCTGGCTATTTGGACTTCTTCCTTTGAAAAGGTTCTGTTTAATTCAGTTGCCCATCTCTTTATTGGCTCATTAATTTTGGGGGAGTTTAGTTTTTTGAGCTCCCTGTATATTCTGTTTATCAGTCTTTGATGTATAGCTACCAAATACTTCCTCCTACTCCGTGGGTGGTCTCTTGAATTTAGGGACCATTTCTTTTGTTGTGCAGAAGCTTTTTAATTTCATGTAGTCCCATTTATCCATTCTTTCTCTTCATTGCTGGGCAGCTTGAGTTCTACTGAGGAAGTCCTTGCCTATACCTATTGCTTCCAGATTATTCCCTGCTCTTTCCTGTACTAACTGCAAGGTTTTGGGGCTGATATTAAGGTCCTTAATCCACTTTGAGCTGATACTAGTACAGGGTGATAGGCATGGATCTAGTTTCAGTTTTCTGCAGGTAGATAACCACTTTTGCCAGCAGCATTTGTTGAAGAGACTGTCTTTTCTCCATCATATGTTTTTGGCGCCTTTGTCAAAAATAAGATGGGCATAGCTGTGTGGATTCATATCTGGGTCCTGTCTTCTGTTCCACTGGTCTTCCTATCTGTTTTTGTGCCAGTACCATGCTGTTTTTATTGCTATGGCTCTGTAGTATAGTTTGAAGGTCGGGTATTGTGATACCTCCAGCATTGTTCTTTTTTCTGAATATTGCCTTGACTATTCATGGTCTCTTGTGTTTCCAAATGAACTTTAGGATAGATTTTTCAATCTCTGTGATGAATGTCATTGGGATTTGATGGGAATTGTGTTGAACATGTAGATTGTTTTTGGTAGTATAGCCAATTTTACTATGCTTATTCTGACAATCCATGAGCACAGAGATCTTTCCACCTTCTTTAGTCTTCTTCAAACTCTTTCTTCAGTGGTTTGTAGTTCTCCTTGTAGAGGTCATTTACATCCTTTGTTAAGTTTATTCCTAGGTATTGGATTTGATTTTTGGAGGCTGTTATAAATAGAATTGTTTTCCTATATTCTTTCTCAATTTGTTCATTGTTAGTGTATAGAAAGGCTACTGATTTTTCTAAGTTGATTTTGTGTCCTGCTACATTGCTGAAACTGTTCATGGTGTCTAGGAGTTTTTCGATGGAGTTTTTTGGGTCTTTGAGGTATAGAGTCATGTTGTCTGCAAATAGGGATACTTTGACTATTTCTTTACCTATTTGTATTCCTTTTATTTCTTCTTCTTGCCTTATTTCTCTGGCTAGGAATTCCAAAACTAGGAGTGGGGAAAGTAGGCATTCTTGTCTCGTTCCTGACTTTAGGGGGAATGGTTTCAGTTTTACACATATATACATACATACATTATATATATATCTTATATATATATATGATAGATAGATATCTAGATAGCCTTTATAATGTTGAAGTACATTCCTTGTATTCCTAGTTTTGTTGGTGCTTTTACCATGAAATGGTGTTGAATCTTATCAAAGGCTTTTTCTGCATCTATTGAGATGATCAAGTGGTTTTTGTCTTTGCTTCTATTAATGTGCTGTATTAAATTTATAGATTTGCATTTGTTGAACCACCCCTGTATCCCTGGGATGAAGTCAACTTGGTAATGGTAAATGATCTTTCTGATGTGTTGTTGAATTTGGTTTGCCATTATTTTATTGAGAATTTTTGCATCAATGTTCATTAAGGAGATAAGCCTTTTTGGATGTATCCTTGTCTGGTTTTGGGGTGAGTGTAATTCTGGCTTCATAGAATGAGTTAGGCACAGTTCTTTTCCTCTCTGTTTTGTGGAAAGTTTAAGGAGCGTTGGTTCTTCTTTTGAGGTCTGGAAGAACTCAGCAGAGAATCTGTCAGGTCCTGGACTTTTCTTTTTTGGGAGACTCTTTATTGCTGCTTCAATTTCATTATGTGTTATAGATCTGTTTCAGTGGTTAATATCTTCTTGGTTCAGTTTTGGATGGTCATAAGTATCTAGAAATTTGTCCATTTCTTTAAGATTTTCCAATTTATTGGAATGTAGATTCTCAAAATAGTCTCTGATGATTTCTTGGATTTTCTTGGTGCTTGTTGTTATCTCTCCCCTTTTTGTTTTCTGATTTTACTAATCTGGGTCTTTTCCCTCCTCATTTTAGTCAGATTTGCTAGGGGCTTGTCAGTCTTGTTTATTTAATTCAAAGAACCAGCCTTTTATTTTGTTGATTCTTTGTGTGGTTTTTTTGGTCTGTTTCATTGATTTCGGCCCTTATTTTTATTATTTCTGTCCTTCTGCTTGTTTTGGGTTTTGCTTGTTCTTGTTTTTCTAGGAGTTTGAGATATAGCATTAATATATGCTCTCATGGCTATAAACTTTCCTCTTAGGACTGCCTTTGCTGTGTCCCATAGGTTCTGGTAGTCATTTTCATTACCTTCCAGGAATCTTTTGATGTCCTATCTTATTTCTTCTATGACCCACTGATCCTTGACCAGTGTGTTATTCAGTCTCCAATTATTTGTGTATTTTCTGCTGTTGTTTCTGTTATTGAGTTCTAGTTTTAATGCATTGTGATCAGATAGAATGCAGGGGGTTATTTCTGTTTTTTTATATTTGCTGAAGCTTGCTTTGTGCCCTAGGTATGATCTGTTTTGGAGAAAGTTCCGTGGACTGCTGAGAAGAATGTATATTGTGCTATTGTCGGATGAAATATTCTGTAGACATCAGCTAGGTCCATTTGATATGTGATGTCATTTAGTTCTAAGATTTCTTTATGGATTTTTTTTTGTTTGGATGACCTATCTTTTGGTGATAGAGGGGTATTAAAGTCTCCCACTACCACTGTGTTGGAGTCTGTATGTGCTTTTAAGTCCTTTAGTGTATGTTTTATGAAATTGTGTGCACTGACATTGGGTTCATATAGGTTGATAATTGTTATTTCCTTTTGATGTATTGCCCCTTTTATTAGTATGAAGTGTATTTCTTTGTCTCATTTGACCAATGTACATTTGAAGTCTACTTTGTCTGATATGTATTGCTTCTCCTGCCTGTTTTTGGGGGCCACTGGCTTGGTAAATCTTCTTCCAGCCTTTTACCCTAAGCCATTGTATATTTCTGTCAATAAGATGGGTCTCTTGTAAACAACAGATTGTTGGATCTTCCTTTTTAATCCAGTTTGCCAAATGGTGTCTTTCAATGCGGGAGTTGAGTTCATTGATACTGAGCATTAATATTGATAGGTATATTGTTTTGTTGTTTAAGGATTTGATTGTGTGCAGCTGAATCAATGCTACTCTCTGATTATTTGTTTTGTCTTCTCCTGTAGTTTGAGACTCCTGTCCTCTTGTGGTTTTTTTTTTGCTTAATCTTCTGTGTGCAGAATTCCTTGTTCTTTGTGCTTGTTTTAATGATAATATATCGTTGGGAGGTTGTATTTTGGTCAAGTCTATTGGGTGTCCTGGAGGCTTCCTGTACGTGAATAGGCAAAACATTCTTGAGATTTGGGAAATTTTCTGTTATTATTTTATTGAATATATTCCATATCCCTTTGGCTTGTATCTCTTCTTAAAGCCCATGATTCTCAGGTTTGGTCTTTTGATGGAGACACTGAGTTTTTGCATATTTCTTTCACAGCTCTTGAGTTGTTTGAGATCTTTTCTGCTTTTTCTTTAATTTCTATTTTATCTTTGAACTCTGAGATTCTGTCTTCCACTTGTTCTAGTTTGTAGAGTGGCCTTCTACTGTGTTTTTGTTTGACTAAAAGGAGTTTTTATTTCCAGGATTTCTATTTGATTCTTTTTTCTGAGATTTTCCATATCTTTGTTCAACTCCTCTTTTATAATTTGTGTTGTTATCTTGAATTCATATATCTCTTCTTTTTAATACTGTCTTTCATTTCACTTTGCTGCTTGTTGAAGT